TTAAATGTGGTGGCACATAAGTAATTTGGCAATTAAAAATTATAATTTTTAATAAAACGAAACATTATTTTTTTAATGTTATTCTACTTGAATCAAATGTTCTTGATATTTTAAAAAAGTACGTTTCCTTCATTTTTTTCACAACCTTTACCTTCTAATATTATCGTTTTGAATTCAAAAGAATATTTTTTATAATTTTTATAAGTTATATATTTCAAAATTTTTTACAGGCCAGAATTATGACAAATTGTCAAAGTTTAACATAATACGAGTACAAAAAACATTTAAATAATATGTTAGCTAATAAACACGTAGTATAGTATAGTTATAAAAAAAAACCTTTTATATTCTACGTTGAATCGTATTTTAAAAAAAGTGTGTTTTTTATTGTTAAAGGGTTTTCGCTTTTAAATTTAAAATTTATAAGCTTTGTTAATCTTAAATACTTTCGAAATTACTATAATACGGTCAACTCTTTTTATAATGAACATTTTTATAATGGACGAACTAAAAAATTTTAAAAAATTATAATAGTTCTGTATAGAGAAAATTGACTGTATTCATATTTCTGTTATATCTTCAATTCACAAAAGAAAAAATAGAAAACATTCAGAGTACAGAAGCACATACTGAAATAAGAGAGATCATTAATGCGCCATCAATCTGGCACACATTCAAGAATTGCTCCTGAATCACTTATGATTCATAATAACTGTTACGTGACTTATAATTATGATGTTTGATGAATGTTTGAAGAGGCTATGTACATTGTTTGTCATAAATACCGATAAGTAAATAAATAAAGCTTTTCTTTATGTTTGATTAGATTATGCCACAATAAATATTATGCGACATGCTGTATTATATAACTACAATAGTGTAAGATGGATTTTTGTTTTTTCGAAAAAAATGAGTGAGCCAAGTAAACCAGAAGAAACAATATCAATACCATTATTATCAGAGAATGAAATTAAAATTCAAGTTAGAAATATTCCGCATGGTGGATACGAAATAACTCAGATTGTTTGCTCACCGAATGTGAAATATGTAGCAACTTGGAGCAAATATGATAAATCAATTTGCGGGTGGTCAGTTATAGAAGGACAACATCAACTCAAAGTTGACAACTCACTTACTTTCCAAGATCTTAATAATATACCGGTTCGTGTTACTAGCAATGATCTTAGGAATGTACCATCTCATGTTATCAATTATGTTGACGACTTTATGGTTAACTACTCTTTAATCGGTGTCTCTGATAATAAACATATTATTTTAGGATGGCAAAGACATTGTTATGTTGGTAAGTTTATCTTAATTATTATTTTAATAATTAATCATGCACATATTGCAGTATTAGCAAATTAAAAATTGGTTAATATTTCTAAATCAATAGAGGAATATAAAGATACCTTTTATTTCGATGAAATATATGGAGTCATTGATCTTAAAACAAAGCTATTGCAAAAGTTTATCGCTCAAGGTTTAAGAGGACAATCTATCTATGAAAATATTCGTTTTCTTGAAAATGGAAATTTAGCCATTATCAAAGGAGATCCTATATATCGAGCTTACATTTTTTCATTCACCACCAACTCTAATGATGAATTTCAGTGGAAATGCATAAATGTTATCAATCTTATAAATTTCTATAAAAGTTTCATTCTTCCAAAAGGAAAATTATTATTCCTCACAGAGATACCTTTTGTAATTACGCAATGGGATTTGGAATCTCTAAAATTTGAATCTCAATATGTATTAGATTTGAATATGTTTAAAGATAAAGATTATATAGATTTGCAATTGAATTTTGATAACACATTATTAGTTGTATTTAATCGAAAAAAGGATGCTATTAATGTTTATTCAACAAGTTCAAGTATAATGCTATCAAAATGTAAGTATTTTGCTGCATATAGTTACTTTATACGTAATAAGTTCTCATAATTTTTTCTCAATTTTTTTTAACGTTGCAGATGTATTCAATGATATTAATACGTATGGTATAGTTGATGTAAATTTTATTTCATCAAAGAGACAAGAACGCTTGCTTATTAAATTTTATAACATTTCTTATCTTATGGTTCCACACTTTTGTAACAATCCGATAAATGCAAGAAAATTATTTCAACTTAGGTTAGATGATGCGTTGAGTAATCATGATACATCAGAAAAATACCTATATCCTAATGTTATTATCTCTGATTTTATTGTGGGTGTTTGGGATAATAGAGTATGGATTCAAACTTTGGTTAAAGATGCTAAAGAATGGATTGGTTATTTACGTAAAGAACTCAATGACTATAATAGAATTAGTGTACATTTTTGTGCTAAAGAAATAGAATTAACGATAAAAACCACTTTGGAAAGGGCAAAAACCTGCTTGGATGATGATTTAACCAGAGTCATTGAAAAAAAAAGTTATTATAATGGGTATTTATTTACTTGGATTGTTGAGGAAACTGATGAAAATACTTTTCTAACAGCCTGGAAGTTTGATCATGAAGCTTTAGCGTGGAACAAAGTTGGAAATAAGATACAAACTTTTCTATCTGAACTTAAATTGCTTGCTAGCGAAGATATAATGACAATTTCTCAAAAAGGTATATATATTTGGACTGCAGATATTGGAAATGAAATCAAGTTACTTTTTTATTGGGGCTCTATTCGACTCGTTAAACCTAAAACTCATTATGAATTAATTTATGATCAGCTAGATTTTCTTAACAAAAGATTGGTATTTTCTAAAAATTCATTACCTCCTCCAAGTTTTAGTCAATTAATTTCTCATCCGTCGTTTGATTGTTATATGGATACAAATACTAGAACATGGTTTTTATTTGAAGATTTATTAGATTACTACATGAATGATATGTTCTTTTTATCATTATATGGAATAATTATGATCCGAACATTGGTTCGAAAAAAACAATTTGAAAAGGTTATAAAAGCTTTTGATCAGTCTCTTGAACAAGCTTTATCATCGATTAAGGACGGAAATATTTATACATTCACTGAAATAATTGATAATATTTCCGCCTTACTTATAGATTTAGAATTATTTGATGAAAATTTTGGGTTTCCAGATCGATATTTAGCAAAAACTGCATTATTACTTCCCGAATCTTTTAAAAAGGTGTTTTTAAGTAAAAATTCACTTTCATCCCATCTTATGTATTGTGGAACTTATGTCAATTTATCAAAAGCTTCTTTTATCGATTATTTATCCCTTTGGATTTATTTCAATTGGAAATCTCTTATATCTAAATTTCCTCAAATATATATAATTATTAATTTTTTTTATTCAACATATTTTAATTCATACCCTCGAAAAACTGTCAAATTATTAATTCCTACCGCAAATTTTGCTACATATTCTAATGATTATTCTTTTTGGAAAGAATTTATATATCCACCAACTAATTTTTTTACTTGTTTAGATTCTCCTGATCAATTTACATGGTGGAATATTAAAGCTTTAATTAACTTTAAATGGGAAACTTATGGGCAACGTTATTATTACATGATATGGATTATTTATTCAATATTTATGTTATGTTTTAACATCATTGCAACTATACCAGAGGATTCAATATCTTTGACTCATCAACAAATTTTTAGAATAATATCAATTACTCTTGGATTCTTTTTTCTCACTTTTGAAATTCGTCAATTCTTATATAACCCTGATATTTATCTTTATAGTTTTTGGAATTGGATCGGTATTTATACATATATTTATATATAATTATACTGTATATAATTTAAAAATATTTTTCATTAACTTTTTTTTCTAAATTAATATTAGACATTGCCGCATTATCTTTTCCAACTGCCATTTCAATTCTATGGATGCTTAATAAAACTCCACCGGTCTGGTTCCTTACTATAACTGTCCTTTTACTTGAACTCAAATTTTTATTTTATCTTCGTGCTATGGAATATTTTGGAACTTATTTCGCAATTATGGTTGGCGTAGCAAAACGAATTTTTTCATTTATTGCAGTTTTAGGAATTATAGTTTTTGCTTTCGCACACTCTTTACATATCTTATTAAGACCTACTACTGAATTTTCTTATGATCAACCAAGTTATACTGATGATGTTAATAATCCTTGGAATCTTGCTACAAGATATCAATCTATCTTACCTAATGGTACAATTGAAAATGATTCAACTTTTATTGAAACTCCTGATGCAAACATAAATATGTTTGCTCTATTTAGTACTGCTATTATTGCTGTTTATTTCATGTTAACAGGTATTATTATTATTCTTTTTTTGTTTCTTGTCATATTAATATAGCAAATATATAACATATTGTGTATATAATTACTTACCAATTAAAATAATATCGTTAGGAGATTCAGGTTCAATTTCATCTTGGGTTTTGCAAGACAATCCGACATTAGTCTTTTTATTGGCCGTATTTTCTTTCTTTACAACAATTTATTTAATGAATTTATTTATTGGATTACTTGGTATGGCAATTGATGAAACGAATAATGATCAATCATTTCTGCAATTAAAAGGAGAGGTACTTTCAAAAAAACTATGCTTAATAACTTATATTACTGTATTAAAATACTGCAAAATTATATAAAATTTTTTTATTACATATATTATTTATTGTTATCAGATATTGGCTGAAATTGAACTTTTTTGGATGTTACCCTACCAAAGAAGAAAAAAAAATTGGTTCCCCGATATTTTGTAATTATCTTATGAATCTTTTTTATATATATTGTATTTGCAATTTAATTAATTATTTCAAATATTTAATTATTTTTAGATATTATGAAGCTTCAATTGAAGAACTTCAAAATTTTGTTAAAAAATCACAAGATGAAAATGAAGATACATTTCCACCATATTTATCTGACTCAATTTTTAAAATTTCTGAAGTTGATAAGTCAATTGAAGTAAAAGCTAAAGAAATAGAAATTAAAATTGATAAATTTGATGATAAACTCAACAAAATTCTTGATACTCTTGAAAAATTAAATTCGGTTTCAAATTCAAATAATCAGGTTTAAAGCTTAGTATAGTATTTGGTTAAGTTTAAGTTTTGTATTATCTATGAATAGATTTTTTTTTTATAGATCTCTGTATAGATGTAATGTATAAAAATTTTTTTCATTATGAACATTGTAATTGTATCAATTCTTTTTTGGTGTTAATCTATTTCGGCGATAACTAATTTACTACTCCATTCTCCAACCGCCAATTTCTATATTTTCGCAGGTGGATATAATGTTATTATCATTAATGATATCACTATTAGCCCGGTCTGCTCTTTTCTTTCATTTCAAGAAAGAGTATAGATCGCTATGTAATATGATTTTTTCATATCATCTTAAAGGGATACAATAATTCTGGATAGTAAAGCTTTCATTCAACTATTATAGGTCTGGACAGTAGAGTCCTGCACTCCCTCCGAATAAATATTTTAATGCTGAAACCCATGGTCTTTGTTAGAATATTTTAATGCATGTTAGAATATTTAATGCATTGCAATAAAAACAATATCCTAAGAAATCAAATAATCGAATACACAAAAAAATATTTCGAAAAAAAGAAAAAAGTGTCGAAAGTAATACATGTGGGCTAAAAAGTAGATTTAGGCCTTTTTAAATGCAAGGTATCGATATTGAATTAATAATTGTGATTGAAATTAAAATTTTAATGTAAATTACTTATAGTACGTGCAACAATTTGTTATTTGATATTTAGATAGTAAAGCATCACAAAAAAGAAAAAAAAATCGAAACCTTTTAGAAAGGACACATAATTAGATTATAATAAGTATTAGAACTGTTTAATAAATTTACTTAATAGTTTCGGGCTGAATAATGTTAATGCTGGCAATTAACACACTAAAATGGTTCTAATCAATATCTGTCACTATATATAACAAAATTTTTTTTAAATTAACTAGACACCAAGAGCAACAAGCTTCAAGTAACAATAATAATTCACGATCCAACCCAGTCATGATCCAGACAGACCAGCAATCAAATTTCTTGAGCTCGCAGGTACAGTACTAAAATCTTGTATAATTTAAAAACTTTATTATGAGGTTTAAAAGAACTCTAATTTATTTTTCAGCATAGTAAATTACTATTGGGCCTTCAAAGTTGATTAGCTGTTTACCGTTAATTTTGAGCTCGCGCACCAGAAGGGAGGGGAGGATTTAATAGAATATTTAATTAAATATTATTGTCAACTTTAATCACATTATTCTTGAAAATAAATGAAAAGTACTATTGCTATTCAAAGGTTATAAGGTCGTAAGATCATGTGATTGCGATCTTGATTAGTGGAGTTCGCATATATAGAATTTTAGATGTCAAGAGAATTTTAGTATTGTCAAGATTTTATCAGGATAATTGATTTTGGGATTTGATAATCAGGATTCGGTGATAAAATCCAGACTATAGTGGTTTATACAATCTAAAAGTTTTTTATAAAATTATTGCCAGTATCCGGCTTACTATTTTGAGATCAAAATCAATATTTTTTTAAACCTGGCTAAGAAACTTTCACACTGTCAAGATAAATGATGATAATATATGAAATTTTATATGAGCAGAAGTCGTCTATCCAACTATACAAGTATTTAATTCATTATAGGTGGTTGTAGAATGCTTATCTTAACGTTAACAAGCTCCCAAACCTCTGTTCTGTCGGAGGCTTTCCATGTTTGTTTATTTGATAGCTTTTTTTCCTTCTTTATCAAAGCTGAATTCTTCATGTTTTTTGTTAACATCTTCGAAGCTTGCTTGAAATATCTAATGAGAGGTAGCTGAAGAGGACTGGCTAGTTATGATACTTGTTAAAGAGTCAACCTCTCTATCGTTTTCAGGAGAGACGGTTTCATCAGCATTTTCGATCTAATACAACATTTTAAAATGAATCAATTCACAAAATTTTCTAATTTCATACGAATTTGAAAAAAAAATAAAACCTCTATTATTTCTTCTAAAATGTTCATGTAAATTTCAGCTAACGGGACTCGATTATGTCGTTGTGAAGAATTTAATGCATTTTTAATTACTCTTTGCTGGAAATTTCTATATTCATCGGAATTTGAAAAAGTTCTTTTAATGGGGTCATAATTCTCTTTATTCGAGTTATTTAATTCCATTTTTTTTTGGTTAGAAAATTTAAGGGTTTTTTATTTAAAGACTTAGGAAAAAAAAAAAAAAAAAAAGAGAAAAATACTTTACTTTTAAAATAAAATTTAAAAACTAGTTTCATACCATAGCAGAATCGCCTGGAGATGACTCCGGGTATGTTCCCTTTATTGGCTAAATAAAGATGATATACATGATAAGCGCAGACAAAATTTACAGTATTATTTCCGAATATATTATTATTTTCGAAAATACTGCATTCAATTGACATGTTAATTCCACTAAACTGCCAAAGAAATATTTTCGGAGGTCACCTCCGAACTAAATATAAACTTTTGTTGTATATTCATAGATTATTCAATTCATTTAGAAAGAATGTGCGTGATACCGGTATTTGCTTTCCGATTAATTTATGTAATGCAACAGAATTTATGCGCATAATATTGGTTTAGAGTCTGTCAAAGTTTGGACTAAAAACATTCTAATTTTAGGACATGTACACAAAGTAGTTAAATATATATGATACGTAAAATGTTCAATGCGTAAAAATTAAATAAGAGTTCATATATAATTCCATCGAGAAGATCAGTGCATCAGTTTCAACTACTAAATCTTAAACAAAAGTATATATTGTATGGCGAAATCTGAAATATATATTAAAGTTAAATCTTGCAAATTGATTACAAACGTAAATTTTAAAAATTAAAAAGTCGACTTCTCACTTTTTGCTAATTACTATGCTTCTAAAAAACCTCATGGGTTTGATATATGTTTATTATATTTTCTAGGAGAGTCGATGACATGTGATTTTGGGGTAACTTTTTTGTTTATATCTGGGGACTAATTATAAGGCCCAATTCCTCGTGATCAATTTGTGCCGATAATACAAAATTGAAGATCTTATTAAATTTCTAGCGATGATTTCTCAATAATTACTTGATCAAATTCGGTAAAAAATTTTTTATTTTAATTATATAGTTTCGTAGAAATAAAATAAAATAAAAAAAGCTTATAAAATTTGGTTTAGTGGATATCGTGAAATCATCGCAAAAAGTTTTTAAAAAACTTTAAATATCTCAAAAAAACAATTATATATATATATATATATATATATTTGAACTTTAAACGACAATTTTTCAACAATCAACTACCCGAATTTGATGAATTTTTTTTTTTTTTACTTTAATTTTATGAGTTCATAGAACAAAATAAAAAATTTTGATCGAATTTGAATAGCCTGTTGTCGAGAAATATTCATTAAAAGCTAAAAAAAAAAAAAATTGGCCGCAGCTTCTTTTTTAAAGACATTAAACCTTGAACAATATTACTCGGTGCTTACCTAGTCAAATTCGATCAAATTTTTGATGAGCTTTTTTTTTATTTTATTTTATTTCTACGAAACTATATAATTAAAATAAAAAGTTTTTATCGAATTTGATCAAGTAATTATTGAACAAACTCTGGCACAGAATTCTTGAGTGTGATTTATCGTTTTAATACTACATATTAGAAAAAAGCGTATAAGCTAAAAAATACACGTAAAAAATTTATCACATATATTCTAGAGAGTAGATAGACACGCGTAAAGTGGGTAAATGTACTAAAAACCCGAACTCATTTACATGGTGGAATTTGATACCTGAGTTGTAGCTCTGATCAAATTTGCAGATCATTTGAAATTATTTGACTTCAAAGCTGGCCAAATGATATGCAAATTGGATTATAATTACGGCTCATGGGTTTTTTCTATTTATCAAATTCCGATATGATAAACCAAAACTTCGATTTACAGTTGACCAACCCAAACACACTACAAGAACCGATAATTTAGACATTAAACTTGGATTTTCTACTACTAAAGAGCTTGTACTCACTCAAATTAAACAAATCTTAACATAATAAAAAGTTTTAGACAAAACGTTTCCAGTTACCTTCACTACAGTGTAATTTCACACGGTCCAATAGACGATAGTATATTTTGACTTCTAAGTAAAATTTGTTAGTTTTGAGATTATTTTTTTCAATGAATATTGACGTTCGTTTAAAGCAAAAAATAGCTTTGTGGTAATGAAACGTTACAATCTCAAAAAGTACTCTAAAGTGTATAAATAAGTTAGCACCCACAAAATTTTTCCGGGCACGTAATCTGTGTTACATACATATGGAAGATCCAATTAATAAATTCGAAGCTTAAAAACTTCTAGCGATGTTTTCTCAACAACTACTTAATAAAATATGATGATTTTTTTTTAATTCTAGAATTAAAAAAAAATCATCATATTTTATTAAGTAGTTATTGAGAAAGCATCGCTAGAAGTTTTAAAAAACCTTTGAATTTATTGTATGTAACACCGGAAAAATTTTGTAGGTAAGTCTACCTTACCACCAAAGTAACATGATATTATTCTCATCGACACCGAATAAATATTCCTCTAAGTCTTATTGTTGAAAAACATTTGGTGTCGGGAACGTTTTCATGCTCAACACCACCTAGATCAATTCCTTCTTCATGTGATTCTTTTGTGGCTTTACGAAGGTCAAGAAGGCATTATGGTGACATTATTAATTTCCGAATTGAAACCAAATAGTGATAGGTTCTTTAAAGTGATCGAGATTTATGTTGATACAATATTAATGTCAATATTCTGTTCGAATGTTGCCTAATGTGTCGATGCCAGTGATTTTAGGAAACGCATGTGGGAAGTCTTTATATGAGGCTAGGACAGGGGTTTTTTTTTGCCGATTTTCCATTGCTCAAAGCTCCCGCTGAAAACGTCTTATTCACTTAAGCACGTCTGAAATCTGACAGATTATTTCAATTCTTAATTAAAAGAATGTAAAATGTTAAATGTCGATTTTTTTTTTTATATTATTCTAATTTTATGTTATACTTGATATTTGCAATTCTATTAGCTACACAATCATCAATTGACACCTCTGTTAGTAAGGTCGGCTTAGCTTCGATCGCGACAAAGGGTTATGCGTTTATTATTAATAATAATAATTTAATTAGTTAGCTTTTAAAAAAAAATTTTTTCTTAAATTTTTTTCTTGAGCAGGTGGGTGGCTTCACCCAATTTAAAATAAATTAATAACTCGATATGGTAGACAATATAGTATAAGATGGCGGATATTTCCTTTCCTAAAATTGCATAATTTAAATTAATACAGCTAGATCTAGTTTATGTATGTACTGTACCTATTCCATTGATAAAATTGTTGCAATCAAGAAAATTCCAAAATCTTAGCCGCATCTTAGTTTGGCTCAACTGTAGCCTGGTTTAACCTAACTCGGGTACTTTCCCAAATAAGAAATACTCAATTTTAATATGTAAAAATATAATAAAGAATAAAACTAAACTAAAATAGGAAAAAAACCGAAAGAAAATTCCAAAATCTTAGCCGCAGCTTAGTTTGGCTCAACTAAAAATTGACTTATTCATAGTAGCCGGGTTTAACCTAACTCGGGTACTTCCCAAATAAGAAATACTCAATGTTTAAACGTTAATATGTAAAAATATAATAAAGAATGAAACTAAACTAAAATAAGAAAAACCCGAAAAATGGGGGTAACACTCCGATTAACATGTAGTACAACAGGAAAGTTTTTAGTATATCAGATATCTGATATATCAGATGTCGTACGTACGTACGTATATGCTGTTTCTCAACGCACAAAAATTATTTATTGTACGTTCCATCGTTTAGAACAATTAAATATGAATTCGCAGTGTACAATTCCATCAATGACATCCTCATCAAGTGGATCAAGTGGATTAGTCTCTAATTTAACTCAATCTTCAATGGCATCATATACCTCAACTGAACTTTCATTCTCTGCTTTTAACTTCAAATTCATCTCGGATGATAGTGAATACTATGATAGTGAAGAAGAATTTGATGTAGATTACTCATGTCCAGATTGTTCACGGCCTAGAACAAATGATCGATGGTGCAATTTCTGTGAATCCGAAAAATTTTCAAAGAATTTTAATAATTGGACAAGTGGACATTCATACTTAGACGAAATCATAAAAGATACTCAACTTAATGCCACAAGTAAATGTGATTATTTGGTTTGGATTGATTATAATGAATTCGAAGATGTAGAATATCTTGCAAATGGCGGATTTGGAGATGTTTATTTTGGGATTTGGATTAATGGACCGGAGAAAGTTCTAATTTATGATGAAGAAAGTTGTATACATAGAAAAGAAGGTATGATCTAAATGAAATTGCCAAACAATTATTGTAGAAATACAAGTTACTTATACGTAGTATATTGTGATTTTTAGCAAAGACACCTGTAGCTTTGAAATGTTTACGTAACTCTGAAAATATAACTACAGAATTTTTGGATGAAGTATGTAATTCTGAAATAGTTTTGTTCGTTAATTATTACTACGTTATTTAATAAACAAATTGGTATGCTCTATTTTGTAGCTGAAGATGTATCATCGATGTCGCAATGGTCGAGTTCTTCATTGCTATGGAATAACCCAACACAAAGAATCAAAAAATTACATGCTAGTAATGGAATATGCAAACGGTGGTGATCTACGTCACTATTTTGAACACAATTATCATCTATTAAGTTGGGGTCAAAAACTAAGAATTTTAAGGGATATATCATTAGGTTTAGAAGTTATACATTCCGCAAAATTAATGCATCGAGATTTTCACAGTGGAAATTTATTGCTGCACACACTTAAAGACGGTACAATGCGAACTTTTGTAACAGATTTAGGGTTATGTAGACCAATAGACCAACTTTCAAAAAGCAACACAGTATATGGCGTGTTACCATACATAGCTCCAGAAATATTACGTAGAAAACATTTGTATACCAAATCATCGGATATTTATAGTTTTGGAATTATTATGTGGGAAGTATTAGCTGGAAGACTTCCATTTAATGATACACCACATGATATTTTTTTAATCATGGATATATGCCGGGGAAAGAGACCAAATACAGATATTGAGGGAACACCGAAATGGTATATTGATTTAATGGAAAAATGTTGGGATAATGAGCCTAAAAATAGACCAGATATTTTAGAGATTAGATTGTTAATAAATAAAAAGTATTGGGATTGTTTAGAAAATGATGAGCATGCAATTTATTTGCCGCAGAATAGAGGTGACGTTAGAGAACGTAGGAATATTAGGTCGCATCCTAAGGCTTCTTATACAAGTAAAATGATACCAAAACCACCGAGCCAAAAAGGTAATTCATATATACATATGTTTATAAAATATTCACTAAAGCTTATCATTTGAATTATTTAGATATAGAGTATAGTGGATATAGTAATTTTGCCGTATCAGAGTCGGGTAAGACAATTTAATTATCTGTGTAAATGCAACTTTTAGGAATCGATTTCTTACGACATAATGCATTTAGAGTTCACTAGAGAAATAACAGGAACTATTGGAAAGCTACCACAACTAACGATTAATATTGATGAAAAGGGTGAAGGTAGTTTACTTTTCAAAGATAATAAATCTCTTGATTTCTTTTATTCATTTGAATAATAATATTTATGTGCAAAAAGATTTTGATTATGTAACAAGAGCATTTAATGAAACGCTTTCATTTGGTAAATTTTTTTACATAATAATTTACAAAGATTCGAACATACAATTATCATAAAAGTTAACTTTTGTTTGATTCTTTGTTCAATATTCAGATGAAGATAACCCCTTAAAAAGAACAAAAGTTACATTATCTTCGAAGATTCTTTTGTAAAAGAGAGATTATAATAGGCAATCATGATTTAATTAATTTCTCCTTCCATTAGAAGTCAAATTGGACAGTGTAGTGTAGTAATACCAAAAGTATTATAACATTTTAATTGTAATTTACTTATAGATTCTAATCTTAATCGGTACATTAAAAATTGCTGCCTTTTGAGAAACTTTGTAACTACTATTTTTGACTTTAAATAAAAATTGAAAAGCATATTATACGTCGCTTAGGAATTTATGATAAATCCGAATTGACATAGGTCATCTTGGAATCAGAATTAACATATATCATGATCATATTTATGATACTGATTATCATAAAAAAAAAAAAAACTATTCATAAAGAAAAAAATTAAGCAGCATGTACATTTTTATTTTAATATTTACTTTAGCACTATACGTTTGGTAATCACTATCCTTTTAGTAAATTAAACAAATTCAAACCGATGATAGGGCGATAATGTATATTTATTAACCCGCGACAATTTAATCATACCAAATTTTGCTATGTCGCAATATTAAAAAGATGAAAATGCCAAATGGAATAATATTGAGTGTTAGGTCAATTGTAATGTCAGAGGTAATGATTTAATTAAGGGATCTTTGCAGCACATATAAAATTTATAACGATCTATAGGTTTTGTAAAAAAAAAAAAAAGACAGTTTTCATTTCTAAGCTAACATTTATATCTTACAATATAACCAGTATTCTTTATTATAATAAAAATTTTTGTTATTTCATATTTATATA